CCCCCCCCCCCACACAAAAAATAGTATTGGCAATTGTTTAGGCCCCTATACTAGAATGAGCCAGGGGCCCTTGACCTGTTAAACCCTGGACCCGGGAGCCTGAACCCTGAACCCTATAGACCTTATAACTGATAACCCTAAACCTGAAACCTGACAACCCTGAACTCGCTACATCCTCAAGGTTTAGGGCTTCAGGTTTAAGGTTTAGGGCTTTTGGAGTTTGGGGCGTTGGGTTTAGGATTTAGAGTTTAAACCCTAAACCTTAAACCCTAAACCCCAGGGTGTAAGGTTTATGGTGCGGCTCTTGGGTTAGGCATTAGGAGATACCTGCGGCCTTGATCCACCCAAAACCTCGAACAACCCCTCGCTCAACGCAAAGGAGAGGGTTTCGGGTATGTTATAGCGTTTAGGGTTTAGGGTTTAGGGTTTAGGGTTTCGGGTATGTTATAGCAATTTTTCATTCAGGAGCCCCGAGAGATAACATTCGTAAGCGGAGCCCAGCCCGTCGATACTGCTCCGAACTTCACCAAACCCAACAGACTCTCCGACAAAGGCCCAACCCCAAACCGTCGACCCTACATCATTAGAAACAGGCGAGACGTTGTACGATTCAGGAGTCCGGGTGTCAGTGAAAAAAAGACAGCACGCAGCAAGAACTGCCCCGGAAGCTCTGAACTCCCAGAATCCAAACCCTGACCTATGAACCCTGAAACCCACAACTCCAACCAGAAGCACCCCGCACTTCTCAATCCTAAAATCCTCAGCCATAGACCCTAAATCGTGATCTTTGACTCTTCATTCGATATGATCGGTCCTGCACTTTAATCGCGCCACACTCGCAGCCCCAACCCTCAACTCCAAACCCTGAACCCAAAACACTAAACTCTAAACCCCAATCCAAAAACCCTAAATAACCCTAAACTCTAAACCCCCATCCCTAAACCCTAAACCCTAAACCCTAAATTCTAAACCCTCAACCCTAAACCCTAAACCCTAAACTCTAAACCCCACTCCCTAGACCCTAAACCCTAAACCCTCTAAACTCTAAACACTAAACCCAAGAGAACCCGAAAGTTTCGTCCAAGCCGTGCGGCTCCGTTCCCCAGGCACGCGGCGCAGGACGGACGGATGAAATAGGGTGCTCCTGTCGAATGTAGGGGGCCCTTAAGAATTAGCATAGGGGTTCCTGTAAAGGGATCACAATTCTTGAAACCCTACTTGGAGGTTCATGGGTAGTTATAAATGAGACAAAAAGCAGGGAAACTATAATTATAGCTCATTTTAGGGGACTTATAACCATACTTATAACTACCCATGAACCTCCAAGTAGGGGCCTTGATAATTAGAATAGGGGTTCCTTTAAAGGGATGCTTATCAAGGGATACTATAAGGGATCTATACTGGGCTTCTATATTAGGGGCCTCAACAATACGAATACTGTAGGGTTTTGGGGTATATTGAAGCCGGCCCTATATACCTTATAGAAGCCTTTTAAAAGCCCTATATACCTTATAGAAGCCCTTTAGAAGCCCTATATACCTTATAAAAGCCCTTTAGAAGCCCTATATACCTTATAAAAGCCCTTTAGAAGCCCTTTAGAAGCCCTATAGAAGCCAAACCCTAAACCCTAAACCCTAAACCCTAAACCTATATACCCT